GGATGGGGCATCTACAACTTCTCTGGGCAACCTGTTCCACTGCCTCACCACCCTCTGAGTGAAAAATTTCTTCCTTATATCTAATTGAACTCTTCACCTCATTCAGTTTAAATCCATTGCCCCGTGTCTTATCACCATATACCCTTGCAAAAAGTCTCTCTCCAGCTTCCCTGTAGGCCCCCTTTAGGCACTGGAAGGCTGCTGGAAGATCAGTGATGATCAATGAAGATCAATTTCAATGATGCTGACCTGAGTCTAGAGTTTAGGATACTATGACCTAGTCCATGGAGGAGATGAGATAGGAGTCACTCCTTGCTGCCAACAGCTGCTTCCTCCTCCAGGCTCCTCCTTGTTCATTCAGGCAGGCATTAGTCTTTATGGCCTACATCTTTAATTCTTATTTATGTAACTTTAATAAAAAAAAAAAATCTTCAGGTAATTTGTGGATTAAAGTCAGATCAGTTCTTTGAGCTGGCTGGCTCTCTGTCCACATTCACAAAGATCTAAGTCTTGCAGGAAAGAAGGGTAAAGGACACAGCAGATCTTTCTTTTTCATCACCAGCATGGGTTTATTTTCCATTTATACTGGACCTAGATGGGTTAGAGTTAGTTTTCTTCATAGCAGCCTACTATGAGGCTGTATTTTGGGTTTGTGACTAAAACTGTTGATAGCACACTGGTGTTTTGGCTGTTGCTGAGCAGCACTTGCGCAGTGTCAAGGCTTCCTCTTTTTCCGTGTTCTGGACCCTCTGGTGAGTAGGCTAGGATTGTCAAGAAGTTGAGATGGAACATGGCTGGTACAGCTGACCCAACTTGACTGCAGGGATATTCCATGCCATATAACTCCATGCTCAGCAATGAAAAACTGAGGGAGCCAGGGCAGGTGTTGGTCTGGAAGGAAGCTATTGCTCAGAGACTGACTGGACATTGATCTGCTTGTGGGAGGTGGAGAGTGGTGAAAACCGCCACTTGATATTTTTCCTCTTCATTTATTAAACTGTCTTTTTCTCGGCCCATGCGTTTCCTTGCTGTTCTCACCCGTGTCTCTTACCATTGAGGGGGGGTGAGTGAACAAGGGGCTGTGAGGTACTTAGTGACTGCCTGAGCTTAAGCCACCACAGGGCTCTTAAATGCTCAAACATTTGAATCTGTGTATTTCCAATGATAAACTCTGAATACAGTTCCTGAAGAAGCTGCTCATCACTTGTAACTTTGACATTATCTTGGCATTATTTTTTGATATTTCACCTCTCCCAGGCTGCATCTTGAACAGGAATCTGTTCTACCTTCCCCTGAATGAGGGGAACACAGTTGATCTGGAGAACTAAGAGTGAATTGGGATGAACAACTAACGCCAAAAGGAGTTGATGTTTCAGTGACATGGTGTTTTTGGGAATATATAAGAAATTTCTTAAATGATCTACCTTAAGCAGGGATTATGTGGCACTTAAAAACTTTGACTTTGTGCTTTGCAAAGGCAGGGATTGTGAGAATGCTGTAGGAGAAGATCAGGTTCGAGACCATCTAAAGAACCTGAAGGTGGACAAGTCCCTGGGACCTGATGAGGTGCATCCGTGGGTCCTGAGGGAGCTGGCAGATGAAGTTGCTAAGCCACTATCCATCATATTTCAGAAGTCGTGGCAATCTGGTGAAGTTCCCACTGACTGGAAAAGGAGAAACATAGCCCCTATTTTTAAAAAGGGGAAAAAAAGAAGACCCAGGGAACTACGGGCCAGTCAGTCTCACCTCTGTGCCCAGCAAGATCATGGAGCAGATCCTCCTGGCGACTATGCTAAGGCACATAGGAAACAAGGAGGTGATCGGTGACAGCCAACATGGCTTCACAAAGGGCAAATCCTGCCTGACTAATTTGGTGGCCTTCTATGATGAGGTTACAGCATTGATGGATAGGGTAAGAGCAAGTGACATCGTCTACCTGGACTTATCCAAAGCATTTGATACTGTCCCACATGACATCCTTGTCTCTAAACTGGAAAGACGTGGTTTTGATGGATGGACCACTCAGTGGATAAGGAATTGGCTGGATGGTCACACTCAAAGAGTTGTGGTCACTGGTTCAATGTCCAAGTGGAGGCCGGTGATGAGTGGTGTTCCTCAGGGGTCAGTACTAGGGCCAGTGCTGTTTAGCATCTTTGTTGGTGACATGGACAGTGGGATCGAGTGCACCCTCAGCAAGTTTGCTGATGACACCAAGTTGTGTGGTGTTGTGTGGACACGCTGGAGGGAAGGGATGCCATCCAGAGGGACCTTGACAGGCTGGAGAGGTGGGCCTGTGAGAACCTCATGAAATTCAAGAAGGCCAAGTGCAAGGTCCTGCACGTGGGTCGGGGCAATCCCAAGCACAAGTACAGGCTGGGCGGAGAATGGATTGAGAGCAGCCCTGAGGAAAAGGACTTGAGTGAGAGTGCTGGTGGATGAGAAGCTCAACATGAGCCGGCAATGTGCACTGGCAGCCCAGAAAGCCAACTGTATTCTGGGCTGCATCAAAAGGAACGTGGCCAGTTGGTTGAGGGAGGTGATTCTGCCCCTCTACTCTGCTCTCGTGAGACCCCACCTGGAATACTGCGTTCAGCTCTGGAGTCCCCAGCACAAGAAGGACATCGAGCTGCTGGAGCGAGTCCAGAGGAGGGCCATGAAGATGATCCGAGGGCTGGAGCACCTCTCCTGTGAAGACAGGCTGAGAGAGTTGGGGCTGTTCAGCCTGGAGAAGAGAAGGCTCCGGGGTGATCTTATAGCAGCTTTCCAGGACTTAAAGGGGGCTTACAGGGAAGCTGGAGAGGGACTTTTTACAAGGGCATGTAGTGATAGGGCAAGGGGCAATGGATTTAAACTGAAAGAGGGCAGATTTAGATTAGATCTAAGGAAGAAATTTTTCACTCACAGGGTGGTGAGGCAGTGGAACAGGTTGCCCAGAGAAGTTGTAGATGCCCCATCCCTGGAAGTGTTCAAGGCCAGGTTGGATGAAACTTTGGGCAACCTGGTGTAGTGGAGGGTTTCCCTGCCCGTGGCAGGGGGGTTGGAACTAGATGATCTTTGAGGTCCCTTCCAACCCTAACCATTCTGTGATTCTATGTTTCTATGATTCACTGCCAACACCTAGTGGTACATAAACCAGACAAGTGAGCTGATCTGGCGAAAGCTTCACAGCCTCTCCCAACTTCTCTCCAGTAGGTATGTTTTGGGGAAGTTGTAGAGTTTTCAATTGGAGTATCCACAATACTCACTCATATCCAGTATTCCACAACTGGTTTATCATAGGCTATGTGAATGGCAATGGTAGCAGAAGGAAGTAAGAAAAAAGACAGAAAAAATATTCTCTTTAATCAGAGGTGTGGATGAAAACAGCAGCTTAATGCCCTGGCCAGGAATGGTGGAATGCTAAGCTGCGTATGCCAGTGGAACAACCATCCTTTTGCATGTTAGGTTTATCAGTAAACTGTAAGTAACAGAGTTATGGCTATCTGTAGCTTCAGAGAGTGGTTTTAGGGTACTTTGGCTTACTGGATAGACCAATTCCAGTAATAATTGAGTGTCCCTTTCTTGTCCCAGTGCTTTTGTTGTATGAGCTCCTGTACTTTGTGCCAGTACAGATAGAGCTGAGGACTGAGCTGATGCAGATGTAGCAGAAATTAATATTTTCTGATGCTTTATCACAAAATCAACGGGCGTCAGTGCAAAAAAAGACGCAGAAATATATGACTAAGGATTTGAGGAATAGAGGAATACTGCCGTCTAGCAGTACTGCTCTTTTCAATAAGGCTGTGATGGCTTGCCATGACCTTAGCTCAGACATTTTGTAAAGTCCTACTTCCAGTCAGTCCTCCTTTCCTGATTGTGTATCATAACTGAGATGATTTGAAGAAGAGTATTTGGTTCTACGCTTCTGGGATGCATCCGATTACATCAGTCTAGCTTCTCAGAAGGGCACAGTATCGTTCCGCCTTGTATGATTTAGTTATATTTTCAGGAACTGCTGCTAATTCTCCTCTGCTCTGACATAATTACTTGGAATTTTAATGGTCAGTTTGAGTGATGACCATAGCTATGCAGTACTTCATTAACTATTTTCTGTGCATCTCTTTTTCTTGTCTAGAGACGCAGTGCAAGAGCCTTACTTGATTTGTGCAGTAATGCATCTGCTCTTCCCTCTGTTCTGATCTGGTCATATATCATCTAATAATAGTAGTGTCTTTCAGCCTGTTAAACAGGAGAATGGGAGCTTAAGAGGAAGAGATCCACATCAATCTCATGTCTAAGTATTTTGTTGATGTAACACAACAGATCAGATTATTGAAAAAAACCAACTTGTAACAATAGGGTTTCTGTTCAAGTTAAAAATAAAAGATTTTTCACAACGAATAAATGTTACAGCTCTTAATTTTAAGAGATCACAAGACATGTTAGCACAGCACAGGAAAAATGAAGGAATAACTGTCATTCTGTCTTTTCCTGTACTAACTCTTTTCGAGCCTTGTCATTGCTGTGATAATTAGCTCATTAATAATGCTCACACAGAGGCTGTACCGGAGAGGATGATTAGCAGAGGAAATACTTAGGATTTAATTAGTTATAACTCAGGGTTCTGCCTGACTGTTACAGTAAAAAGGTAAAAATTCAGCTAGAATTGAGTACTCCAGGTAAGAATCCTGATTTACTAGTTATTGAGCAGAACATATGTTAATAGCTTTTCACAATTACTACTTTGGAATGTTATTTCCTTGAAAGGCAATAAATAGTTACTCAATCTTACCTTCAGACTTTAAAATAAATAAAATATAAGTTGTCATGTATCTTTAATAAGAACTGTCTTTGGTGATGACTTCGTAGTAATTGACTTCATAATAATCTTAAGACACTGAAGACTGTAGGACTAATACCAATCAGAAAACATAAGCATATAGATTATAAATGCTTATTGAATGTAGACTTTGAATGGTAGTGGACTTGGTATAACTTTTGCTGTCATATTCTACTTGTAGGTAAAAAGAACATACTCTCATGGTACGTATAGAGCTGGCCCAATGAGACAGATCAGCCTGGTTGGAGCAGTTGATGAGGAAGTGGGGGATTACTTCCCTGAATTCCTTGATATGTTGGAAGAATCACCCTTCTTAAAAGTAAGAACAGAAGGGAATGGGTTGGGAGAAGGGGGACAATATTCTATCTACTACTGTTACAATAAACTGAGAATATGTGATACTTGCTTAGATAATTGAGTGGTCTAATGTTTTCATCGTGACAGATAAAGGCTGCTTTCAAAGAAGTTTTTAAAGTAACTCACTTCGAAACTGTGGCTTGTATTTCCCATTAGTGTACACTGCCATGGGGAACACTTTCTAGTTTAAAATTAGAGAGTCGTAAAGACAGTGATGATGGTCCCATTATGTGGGTACGTCCAGGAGAACAGATGATCCCTGTGGCTGACATGCCAAAGTCACCTTTCAAAAGGAAGAGGTATGTTGAATTATTTTGCTTGATTTAATGTCTGGTTAGTATTCTTTCTCCATAAATTGATTTTATCTCAAACCTTTTACTGATTGATACTATATCTTGGTATAACTTTCTGTACATCTTCATGTCAAAATATACTTTTAACTTGCTTTTTTTTGAAAGGATGTGTTGATGTTTGTGGTTGGTTTGTTGGTTTTTTTTTTTTTTTTAATTATTTACTATCTGGCCAAGTAAGTGCTGGTCCTTTTTGGAGTTTCAGTAGGAGTTTTAAGGTGAAAACTGCAGGGCAATATCAACAGGCATACAACCACTGGTGTATGCCAGGAGACTAGAATTTATACCCCTGTTCTTAAATGTGAGTAGATGCTTAGAGACCTCAAGGGAGAAGGGCTTCTCTCTCGTCTAAAAGGTAACATGTCCAATGTTAAATGACATCTTTAAGCTTTATTGTGGTACTGTGTATAAGTACCAGCTTAAGAGTAGGGATGTCCTCTGCAGAACTTGAATGTTATGTGTCATGGCAAAGTATGTCTTAGGAGTTCTCTTGTTCAAAATCTAAACATAAAAAGGGAGCACACAGGAAGTACTGTCAAGTGTCTCAGAAGAAGTATAGAAACACTCCAACTATGAAGGGGATGCAGTTAAAGCCAAAGACCATCTGGAGCTGAATTTGGCAAGGGATGTAAAGGGCAACAGGAAGGAATTCCACAGGCATATGGACGGCAAAAGAAAGACTAGAGAAAATATAAGGTGTCTGCTGAATGGGGCGAAGTGCCTGGAGACAAAGGTCACAGAAAAGGCCAAGATACTCAAGCACTTTCTTTGCCCTTGTCTTTACTGGTGAGATTTACCTTGAGGAATGCGGGTTTCCAGAGACAGTAGGAATGTCTGGAGCAAGGGCTACTCGCCTTCAGTGGAGGAGAATCAAGTTAAGGAACAAGTTAGACATACAGATTAGGCAGACACAAGCCCATGGGACTTGATGGGGTGTACCCACAAGTGCTGTGGGAGCTGGCCAATAGAATTGCAAGGCCACTCTTGATTGTCTTTGAAAGGTCATGGCAATTGGCAAAGGTTCTGGAGGACTGAGGTTGGATGAGGCTTTGAACAACCTGGTCTAGGGGAAGGTGTCACTGCCCATGGCAGGGGGGTTGAAAGTAGATGATCTTTAAGGTCCCTTCCAACCCAAACCATTCTATGACTGGAGAAAAGCAAATGCCACTGCAGTCGTTGGGAAGGGTAGGAGCAGGACGTGAGGCCAGTCAGTATCACCTTAATCCTGGGAAGGACGTCATTTCAAACATCAGGGATAAAATTATCATTGGGAGTACACGGTATTGATTTACAAAGGGAAATCGTGCCTTATCCACCTGATAGCAGTCTACAACAAAATGACTGACTCACAGGATGAGAGGAATGTCAGGGGTGTTGTTTATCTTGAGTTTGGCAAGGCTTTCCACACTGGTCACCATAATATCTTAATAGACAAAGTAATAGACAACAAACTAGTCTGATAGACAGTGAAGTGGTTCAAGAACTGGCTTAACTGCTGTGCTCAAAGGGTTGTGATCTGCACAAAGTCCAGCTGGAGGACAGTCACTACTGGAGTAAACCAGACATCGATACCTTGTGCCAATACTGTTCCACATTAATGGCCGGCATCATGAGATAGAACACACCCTGAGCACGTGTGCAGGTGACAAAACTGGAAGGAGCGTTCGATGCACCAGATGGTTGCGCTGCCAGTGAGAGGGACTTTGAGCGGCTGTAGAAATGGGCCAGCAGAATTCTTACGAATTTAACACTAGGATGTGCAAAGCCCTGCACCTGGGAGGAATAACTCTCTGTACCAGTACAGTTTGGTGCCCAACTGGCTGAACAGTGGCCTGACAGAGAAGGACTTGGGTGTTTGGGTGCATGACAGGTTGACCATAATCCATGAGCGTGCCCTTGAAGCAAAGCAGGCCAGCAGCCTCCTGGACAGGATTAGGAAGAGCACTGCCAGCTGGCTGAGGGGGATGATCCTTCCCCTCTGCTCATCACTGGTTCTGGAGTTTCATGTCCAGTTCTGGGCTTGCCAGTCCAAGACAGACATGGGCATACTGGAGCAGGTCTGATGACATTAAAGGCAGGCATGGAGATCTGGGGATTCACCCTTGAGAAAAGAATGCTCGGTGGGATCATATCGATGTGTATAAGCATCTGATAGGAGGTTTTAAGGAGTTTTTTCCGCAGTGCCCAGTAATGTGACCAGAGGTAACGGACACAAACTGAATTATAAGAAATTTCATTTAAAATAAGGAGAGAAAAAAAATTACTGTATGGGTGGTTGAACACTAGGACAGGTTGTCCAAGTGAGTTTGTGGAGTCTCTGTCTGTGGAGTTGCTCAAAACTTGACTGGACATGGGCCTGAGCAACTTGCTCTGGTTGAGCGGAAGAAGTTGGACTATGCAGTCTCTAGACATTCCTTCCAACCTTGCCTATCCTATGATTATAAGCAGCTCTTGGGAAAATGTGGCACACAATGTTGACCCTAGGTGGCCAAGAAAATGGTCTTGTGGCTCTGTTCCTGCTCTGCAGTGTTTCCTTCACTCTCATTAAACCCTGTAGAGATAATATTTTGGTGCTTCTCATTCCTAGTTCTACAACATATAACTAAATATACATACACATTTCCCAGCGGTTTGGTAGAACCATGAATGATGAAGAATGACTTCAGGGACAATTGAAATGTGTATCTAATAGTCAGAAAGCAGCAAAGGCCAGCAGTTGTCTGCCAGGGGCTGATTACCGTAGGGTCCAGTCTCGCAGTGCCTGAGGGACACAGGTAGGGCAGAACTGTGGTTTGGGGACCGGATTCAGCCCAGACTCCAGTGCGTCAGGCAAGTGTGTGATGAAGGGGCAGGTCTGAGGTCAAGCCAGGAAGTCAGTCTGACAGTGGGGATTATGTCCAGTGATTGCCAGGCAGGTCCATCATGACAAAGCTATCCTGAGGTCAAGCTGGGAAGGATATCTGTGGCCCAGCACACCTCTGGATGAGGTGGAGACCAGTGCTCCTGCAGCATGGCTCAGGCCAGGCCTGAAAGCCCAGACTTGAGCTTAAATAGAGCTTCTGGGCTCTGTGTCTGGGTTTGTGGGTGGAGACTGCAGGCAAGGCTGCTCAGTCATTGGGGCCTTTTAGTGCCCTTAGGGCCCTGACACTGTGGTGGTGTTTTGGCTTTGGGTTTTTTTTCTGTTGTGTAAGTGTTCTCATTTTGTGCATAGATCCTTACATTTTTAATTTATCCTAAGAGTTATTGTTTGCTATTTGACTATATGTTCTCACTGAAGAGAGAAAAACAAATCCTGCTGGCTATGGGTGGAAATTAGGTAATGAAGAGACATTTCTGTATTGCTAATATTGTTTATCTTACACAGAACTACCAATGAAATAAAAAACTTGCAGTACCTACCTCGAACCAGTGAACCCCGTGAAATGCTGTTTGAAGACCGGACACGAGCCCATGCAGATCACATAGGACAGGGTTTTGAACGCCAGACTACAGCTGCTGTGGGAGTATTGAAGGCTGTGCGCTGTGGAGAGTGGTATGTGCCAATTGACCGACTCACCTTGGCGTCTGAAAAATAGTCGCCTGAATTTCCATTTGCAATTGGTAGAAGGAGCACGGAATAGGTTAATCTAGTATTAGAGATGGAATAAAGACTTAGTAGGTACTCGAATTTCCCCCTCCCTCTATCTCTGTGCACTAGATGTGTCTGTGTGCCCTCTGCTAGATCGGGTACGGTTTTACTGTGTGACTGAAACTAGAAAGGTGCCTTGTAACGACAGTTTAATAGCTATAATTGAGTTGCTTTAACCGAGTTAATGTTAGATGTAAAAACACTTTACACTTTGTTTTCCTATAAATAGTGCATACAGACTGACCTGAGTTTCTGTCTCAGATGTGCACGTGAAGACCTTTTGGCAATTCTTTGCCTGGAGATAAGCAGAATTTTTAGGCTTCTGATTCAAAGTCACAGCGGTTACAAACTTGATTTACTTATAGTAGATCACCTAGGAGGAATCCTCTTGGTGGTAAAGTGATATTCTTTGGTGTCTGTCTTTGGAATTCCCATATAAAATTCAGGAAATGAATGTATTTCATTTGGAGCTGTTTACATTTTAGCCAAATAAAAAGTCCCAAATTATATAGGCTTCCTGCCCCGGATGTAAGAAGCATTTTTCAGCATCTCCTGACCTTGGTTTAGGAGAATTACCTTAGCTTTGGAGGTTATCTGTGTGTACATGAACACTAAAAACACCTTTTGCTCTCTGTCTAGAGTTTAGAAGAGGGAATTAATTCCCTGTGGATGAAATGATGCAAATTTATGTTACAGTGCATGAGTTCATTGAGATAGAAATTTGAGTAATTGCTGCTGGGGAAGAACTGGATTGTTCAGATGTTAATGTGTTTTTATTTTAGACTCTGAGCTTTTGCAGTTTTACTTCCTCTTCAGGTTGGTGATAGCTGGAGCCTTAAACTTCCTGCTTGCTCTGATTGTGAGAAGCTGGAGTGAATCAAGACTGAGTAGTGGTAGTGGGGCAAGAGCTGAGATGCTGTGTAGGTCTGATCACTTTGCACATAGGTGAGACAGAGACACTCAAAGCTTTACCAAAGAAAGTAAACAAGTGAAACCCCACCCCCACACACTTTCATGCCTTTGGAAATTAGTAAGAATTTAAATTGATAGTAATTTCTATGTCTGTGGGAACTTCCCATTCTCACCCTATACTGCCAGAACAAGATCCTCCTTCCTTGGAAATCCTTGTGTGTTCATTTGCATTCTGGAAAGTTTTATTGCTTTTTGTACTTTTCAGATTTAAACCATTGTCTTCTCTCAAATGTTGGAACTGGTGGAAGAGAGTGTCTGTTCAACCTCCATTAAAACTCCTTTTAAACTTGGAAAAAATGAATGGAATAAGTCAAAATAAAAATTATGTAGATTAAAAAGTGAACTGTAAATAGGCAAAACTGCCTTTCAGTTCAGTGTAAGGACTGAAAAAGGTATCTTTTAATGCAGAATAAAAAATCTGGAGCTCTCATATGTAGAGGAGGAAAATACATAAAGCAACCAACACAAAAATTATGTATTTCAAGCTTGATTCAACCTCCATGATGTCTTCTTTCCCTTCCTACTTTTTGGTGTAATTTTGAAAAGCCACTTCACTGTAGTTACATGAAGAGAACTAATCAGGGCTTATGATAATGAAGCATCATTAATTAATGTAATACATTAAAATAATTTCAGATATTAGCTTTGCCATAATTTGTAAGCTATGAGTAGATTTATTTGAAAGGAAACAACATGCATGGAAGCTTTGAAAAATTTAGGTGTTTCGTTTGGGTTTTTTAAGTCTCTCTGAGTAATTGAACACAACTGAAAGTTGGAGATATTCCAAGGCTGCGTAGGGCACTATGGCAGTAAAAATGCACATGTTATAATAATGATGAGATACTGTATATACAATTCATGTTTTCTTTGAGGAAAAAATGAAGCAATTCCTAGACTTGCTGAACTGAGTTGCTAGTTTGTGTTTAGTTAGTATAAAAATTAATTAAGTGTGCAAAAAATGCTTTGTAATCAAGAAGTTGCTGCAGATTTAAAGACAGTGGGGTTTATTTAGTAGTTGATGGGCATGAATGTTAGCGTTAGGTAGGATAACTGGTGTCTTTCAGAAAAGACAGGAACAGAACTGTTGAAAGGCAAAAAGCAGATTTTAGGGATAGAGGACAGAACTGGAAACAAAACATAGTATTTGGAAGAATGAAAACATAATTTTTGCTTTCCCAAATATGACAGACTCTTGATTTTAGATGTTCGGTAAAATTACTGTATTATGATCTTTTTTTCTGTGTTCCTGTGAATGTTTCTGAGTTGGAGAAGAGCTCTGGCTGTTGCTAGCAAACACTTTAAAGACTGCACTTTGTTGAAGTCTGATAAATGCTGGTATTGTGATCATGCTGATAACTTCATGCCATTTTTGTAGGAGGTACTAAGGGTGCTTTAGAATTTATGAAATGCCAGTGAAATTTTAAACTGTGGAAACTTTGAAGATTTTTACGTGGGAAATTTGGGTGGGTTTTTACAGAGACACCAAAAGACACTTCATGGCATTGTTGTTGGCAAAACTCAGCCTCTGTCCTGTGCTTCCGAAGGCAGCTTTCAAGTTTGTGTTCCGGAGCATGAAGTTGTTAGTGCTTCTCTATATGGTCATGGGAATTTGTTACATATTGCCAAACATTGTGCGTTAAGTTAGAAATATTAATGGCAAAACCTGTAATCTTGAATCTGTTTTGAAAAGTTACAGCAAAAAGAGTCGAGCCCTTTCGAAGAATGAGGTTGAGGGGCAAAAAAAAATATTGCCAAAAACCGTTTTAGCAGTGCTCTAGTATGGATTTAAATGGATTTTTCTGAAGTCATCTTATAGTTCTGATTGGATTTAATGTCTTTTTGGACATCCAACTGAACTGTTCTGCTACTGTGTTGTTTGGAGGGAGGGCAACACCCTCTAAACTTTAGGTTTGACAAAATATAATCTCAAAGTTGCGCTGTTGTGCTAAATATCAAATCTGCAAATGCAGAATTAAAATTTATCTGGCAATGTTTTTTTCTTGCAAAAGCGATGTCGTGTTTTGTGATAGAATTGCAGCACGGAGTTGGTAATGCACACTGCTGCACATATATCTAGGGACTGAGAAAAGGAATGATTTTTAAAAAAATCAATAACTATACTTTGTCCTGTACAACATGTAAAACAGAGTAGTCACTGCTGTGAAAGTGTTGCTTTGAAGTTCTTTTAGTATACAAATAATCTTTGTATTTATTTTAATTCGTAGCTTTGTTTACAAATGTTGTTAACTCCAGATGCAGATACATATTCTTAAAAAAAAAAACCAAACACTAACCCCCCCACAAAAAGCCTCAAACATAACTGCATTATAAAAAGGAGCTAATATTTTTTTATGCCACTAATTAGAGATGTTTCTGTAAGCTTTTTACTTCCAATGCTTAAATCCTCCTCAGGAGTTTATAGACCAAAACGTAGAGAGACATTTTAATCTTTGTAAAATTGCAAGTAAAATATGCAGTCTGAAAATTCTCCTTAGCATACTCTCAGTAGCTGAGTTGATCTGGGATTCCTCCCTTCCTCTCTGCCTCCGCAGAAAGGAGCCTCAAACTGGTTATTTTTTGGTTTATTGAGGTCATGACCTAAATAAAATAAACATGCCTCATCAGTTTAAAAAGCCCAATATGTACATCATGCCTTTTCCTGAGAACGTTAATGACCCCATATATATCTTGCTTTTAAAAAAGAAGCACTTGAACATCCACAAAATAAATTCTGAATTGTATCCAACTGTTTTGCTTCACCAGCTCCCTCTGTGGGCCCCAGTAAATCCGAACTTGTGGCCCTGTTTGATGCAGGGGTGGAGGTGGCAGGAGCAGGGCGCAGGGGACGGCAGCGCCCGGTCGGGCAGCAGGACCAGCCCGGCTGAGAGGCCGGCGGGCACCCAGTGGTTCGTGGGTCCCTTTGGCTGTGCCTGGGCGATGTGAGCGCACAGCTGACGGGACGTGGTGTGCTCATCAGCCCTGGGAGGACTGCACAGCCTGAAGGACAAAAAGTCATCAGCCAGGCTCTTTATGGCTGATCAGCTTTCCTTGCAAAACCACGCCAGTGTGAGCTCTGTCCTATGTAAACGAAATCTTCCTATCGCCACATTTTTAAAAAAACCTCTTGAAAACCAACCAACCCTCAAAAACAAGCACGTGGAGCTTAGGTTTGTATGTTTCCGTTGAAGAACTGAGTTTGGCTTTTAGATCAGAAAGCGATAAGGATGGTAGCTGGTTTTGCCTCGTGTTAGCTAATTCTAGACAATGCCTCTAGAGGAGTTACGGAAATGGTATGCATTTCTTTGAGAGGCACGTTGTAGGACCAGAGGTAAATTCTCTTAAGAGCTTGAATACGGAGACAACCCTAATTCAGATTTTGCTCTTCTGTAGCTCCTTCTGCAGCGTTCTATGGGCATAAATAAGAATGTATTTTTACGTGATGTTCTGTGGAGAATGCCAGTATTTGCTGTGTAATACAATTATTATATATACAATGCATAATACTGCATAATGCTAGTAATAGCATTGTGGCAGCTTAATGTACATTCGGCTTTACTACTACCTTGAAGCCAGGAGATACTCAGCACTGTTGGCCGCAATACTAGTCAGGCTGCTGGATGCTCTGAGGTACCTGATGGGCCTACCATGTTAGAGTGTTGGTAGTAAGCCCAGCATATCTGGGGCGTCTCTCTTTGAGCATCAAGGCAGGTAGGTGTCCATTAAAAATAAAAATTAAAAAATAGTTTTGTTGACCTTTCATTGCCACTTTCACTGCCACTTGTAAAGAAATGGTGGTTAATTCATTTAACCATTTAAATGAGATTGTGTTTGAGAATTAGCCATTTTAGTCAACCTTTTTCTTCAAAACATAGATTACGCTAGAATTGGTGGAGTTTTTTCTAGAATTTGTTTTATCCTTGCTTGCAGATTTTCTTTATTATTCTGTGCAGTATGTTGGTTTCAGCCTCTGACTGCAATTCTTATTCTCCTGTAGGTCTGAACAGCCTCGTATAACCAAAGATGTAATTTGTTTTCATGCTGAAGACTTCTTAGAGGTAGTTCAGCGAATGCAATTAGATTTGCATGAGCCTCCACTCTCACAGGTGAGCATGCTATGAACTGTTGATCCGGTGTCCTCTGCATCCTAAATCAGAGTTTTCACTCCTTTGTTTTTTTTTTTTTTTTCCCTCCAGTGTGTCCAGTGGGTTGATGATGCAAAACTTAATCAACTGCGAAGGGAAGGAATTCGATATGCCAGAATTCAGTTATTCGATAATGACATTTATTTCATCCCGAGGAATGTTGTGCACCAGTTTAAAACAGTTTCAGCTGTGTGCAGTTTGGCTTGGCACATCCGGCTCAAGCTATATCATTCAGAGGAAGACCTTTCTCAAAACACAAGTACTGTTGAAGCAGGGACCTCTGCAGACCCCAAGTCTTCGGTTATTGGACTTCAGACTGACAGCAGGATTTGTACGATAAGCAAAAATACCTCCGAAGACAC